ATGTTCATTGGATTTGGCCAAGTGGGTGTTGAGATATCTTCAATCAAAACTTGAAAAGACCCAGATTTCCAGATTCCTGTGTGGTGTGTGATGTATGAAATCTGACGATCACACTAATTTGAAAAGCACTGTAATTAAAAAAATTGATTAAGTTTTTTTTAAAGTCATTCTTGTTTAAAATTTTAAAAAAAAAGTATTTGCTTGGTTTAAATTGACTCAAACCTATATACTTATGAGAACACTATTATTTTTTTTACTGTTCTCTTAAAATTTTTAATAGTGAACAGTAAAAAATTTATACTGTGCACAAATCTAAAATAGTGTTCTCATGAGAACTCTGAGAACACTAATTTCGAACACTGGTTATAACACGGCATAAAGTTTTAAAGTTAATCCTTAAAGTTAATGTAACGACTCTTAATTAGAAAGCTAAGTTTAGAATTTGATTTAAAGCTGATGCGATTTATAAAAAAAGCTTGTCTGGAAATTAACAGTTAGTGAATTTTTATTCTAGAAATGAACTTGTAATTGTTCCTGTTTCAGATTTATTTAATAAATACTCTTTATAATAATATAAGGCCACGCAAAGTTAATTTTTCATTTTGCATTACCCGCCAACCAATTTTTTAAATTTACGAATTTTTTTTTTGTTTTTTTTAGGTTCCAATTGTGCCAATTGTTCTATTTTTACCATTTAATTTTTACAGTTGTCCCTCCATATAGTCACCTCCCATATAATCACATCATATGTAATCATATTTTTATTTAGACCAAACTATAATTTAATTTATAAGAAAAAACCTCCATATAAGCACAACTTCTCTATAAACACATTTTTAAAAAAAGTTACTATGTGCCCAACTGTGTGATTGTATGGGAGGACGACTGTACCTATAAATTATTCCAGTATCACCCGATAGAAACCTTGTTTTTCCGGAATTATCCGATAGAACTGATAAAAAAAAATTTGATTGCTGACCCAATTTTCTGATTCCATGTTATGTAAAGCGAAAAATTAACTATGCATAATCTTAAATGTGAATATGAGTCTATTATTTACTGTAGAATTAAAAATAAAATCCAACCACCGATTGTTGATTCTGAATCCCATTTAATGCAAAGCGAAAAATTAATTTTGTGTGGCCCAACATGCTAAAATCATCGTAATATATTTATATATGAACTTAATACAACAAAAGCATGAATATGAATAGTTTATTTGAATATTCAGCTTAGTAAATGTTTCTTTATACTCGCAATCTAAAAGAAATTAAATAGTAAAAAAACTTGAATAGTTCATTTTAATTTAAAGCCCTCAACATGAAGCTAGATATGCCATTGGCATACAATTTCAAAATCTCTAATAATACAGTAATAGTAATCATTATTTGACACATTGGCACTAAATCACATGACTATAATTTCTGATCGAAGTTAAAAAATTTATATATTTCTTCTTTGCTTCCATTTAATGACATTAACATTTTACTTGATGTTTATTTTTGGGTAATTTCTGGTGATTTCTAAGTTTGTTTAAACTTATGAATTTCGATTTGTTAATTAATGCTTTTGGTGTATTCTTGTGAGCAGCCACATTGCCATTTTATCCAAAAAGGAAATTGTTTATTCTAATATTTTTATAGTACTTGTACTGTTCCCCAAAAATTTTTTTATTGAATTCGTGTTGTATTTATAGAGAAAAAAAAATATAGGGCTTCAAATTTTTTTAACTAAATATTATTCTTGCTCGGATCTCTTTATTAGACATTATGAAGATACATTATAGGAGAAATATAGAGGATTGATTTGAATTTTTCCCTAGAAAGAAGACAAAAGAAACAATTTTTTTTTTTTTTTTTTTGCAAGGTAGTTGAGATGGATCTAAGATAAAGTGCTACTGATTGTGATAACCACCCAATACTCCTATCTAAACTTGCATGTTGTGCTACCCTTTTTACAACTACATTCACTGCATCTGTTGTTATGCGCTTTCCTGATATACTTAGGAAAAGCAGATCCTTATTATTCTTTTTCTTTCTCAATTCCAAATATTTATACACTATCCACACTAGGCAGTATAGGGAATTAGTAGGTTCAATCTGGATAAATTTCACTTTTGCAAACTGGTCAGTTTTAGATTTATTACTCTAATCCAGCAAACTCCATCCTTTACTTTTAGGTCATCTACTTATAGGTTACAGAGCTTAGCTAGACGTCGCATTGTGCAGAGGCCAAGAGCAACTATTGCACAGCCTCATTTCCATATTATATCTGATACACCAATAGGTGGGTTATCTATATAGGTTCTTAATGCCTCTACTGGTAATGGATCATGTGGCCAAAGTGCTTCATGATCTGCTGCTGCGAGTTTATTAGTTTCTTTGCTAGTGTTTGAACATTATAATCTGTTGTTGGATCTGGGTATACCATTTTCTAGTAGAAGCAGCTGCTTACAATTAAGTACATATGTGGTTTCATAGATCAGAATAAAATATGTACTCACACCAAAAACACTATAATAGACCTTGGATGTGCTGGGCAAGATACCAGGTTGTGAAACTCATAAAAGGTAACAAATTCATTTTACAAACCCTAAAGATGTTTTTCATATACTGCGTTTGGTAATAGATATTGATTTACTTTTGTTAATAGTTCACTCAAAAATAAATCTTTATTGCTTGAAATTTTCAATATAGATTTTTTCATGGTTCTGGAATTGCATTTCCTCCTGGGCTTGGCTTGAAGCTTATAATTGCACTGGGTAGATCTATAGATTCTACTTCTTGTTGGAAAAGAATTGGCCACCATGGTGCAGATGTCCACACAGGTATTATTACTGTTATTTGTGCATGAAATTCTTTTTTGTGTTTGAATATTTTGTGAATCAAACACAGAGGAAGGCATATATAGTTGTTTTTGTTTTTCCAATTTGAGTAAAGCAATCTATTGCATATACTTTTAGGCAATAAAAATAGCTGTTTAATCAAGCTATCTTCTTTGTGCCATGACTTGCTATTTGGTTTATTGTAGAGGGCCCCACTTTGCATTTATTTTGTTAAACAAGTTCTGAGAAAGAGACTAGTCTTATTTGTTGATTAGTCTTGTTATTTCGTCTGCAGGATTTAGTTCTAATAGAACCTACTAAAATTTATGAATTTGTAGATCATGCTAATCATAAAAGTTCCATACTTCTCACATTATTTTCTTTTGCCAGGGTTTCTTACCACCAGCTTTTACACTTTTCTAAGCAACTTGATTGTCTATAAAATAGTAACCCAATAGTGTGCAATCATTAGAATAAATGATTTGAGACCTAATAATACTGCCATTGATTCCAGTATTGCAATATCTGTGTATTGGTGTTTGTATTTCCAATTTTCAAAGGCTCGCTTTTGTTTTAGAGTTGCTGACTATCCAATTGTAGAAGCGTTTACATATATTGAAATAATTTAAGCAGGTTTTCAACACGGTCTTCCAATTTTTTTCTTTAGAATTTTCTGTACCCAAACTATATTAGTAAGTGCCTGTTTTGTTAAGTAAACTGGGTTGTTCCATTCCCAGAGTTTTTGGTTTTCTACATTGATAATTGTATATAGTTCCAAACATCATACTTTTGCATAAACAAAGGCTCAACTTAGACTCATTAACTTTCCTGTTACTGAGAACAGAAAATGTGTAGTTATTTTTTTTCTAACTACTGTATTCCTCCGAAAATAAGCACCCCTTTTTGCTATAAGGGTGCTTATTTTCAGGTATAATCTCAACTAATAATTTAAATGATTTTGATATTTAGTTACATATTTCTATTATATAAGAGGTGCTTATTTTCGGGTATATATAAATTGTAGGGGGTGCTTACTTTTAGAGGGTGCTTATTTTCAGAGGAATACGGTATATATATACTCTTTAAAGTCTGTATTGCAGAATTTATCTTTAATTATGGCACTGTTACCAAGCCTAATACGGTATTCAAAATTATTCTATAAAATTTTAGTTATTGTATAGGATTGAGATGACTCTTCTTCACTATTATAAACCCACAATTTTTTAAATCTTGAAGTATTATTAGTTTTTTATTTGTATTAGTATTTTGTAATAAGAATATGCTACCCAAATATTGTTTATATAATTTTACAGATTATACCACATAATCTCTAGTATCCTATTAGTAACCTTATAATTTTGGAAAATATCTATACAGCCAGGCTCAGTTCAAAGAGTAGAACCCAATAATAATACCAATTATTCTTGATTCTGAACCCTAATATTCTTTGTGCTTTTCTATCCATTATAATATAATAATATTCTTCTTTTAAATCCAAAATAATTATCTACTAATTTTTTTCTATTATGTATAGAAATGTTTTAAATCCTTTGAATTTGAATGATTTTTTGGGTAATGTCATGTTTAAATATCTGAGATTGATTATTAAGTGCTACTTTTTGGACCTTGTTTTGGAGTTAAAAATATTGGGCTTACTTCCAATAGGTATTTGAGTCTTTTTTCTGATTGAGCAACTAGAGCAATTGTATTAGTTTTTAAAAGTCTTTTGATCTCTAAATCTAACTATAGATATTATTCTTCTGTCATAGGATATTGAGGCAGATTGGTTTTCTTAATAGTTGTAATAGTCCTTATAAGAATAATGAAATTCCAGTCTTGAGCCAACTTATTACTAGACTTGAAGCTTGAATTTTTTTTCTCAATATTCTATATACTCTTTTATATGTATGCGATCTACTACTGGAATTAATTGTTGGACTCGAGCATAGTCAGTTATCCTTTGTATTTTCTTGTAGCTTGTTAAATTTGTTCTTGTATATTGAGTATTCTTTTGATTGGAAATTGAAAGTATTTGCATTTGGATCTGATGAGCAGGCATTTGCAAAGTGGCCAAAGCCTTCACAGATATAGCATTTGCTTGCAAAGGCTAGAGAGTGATTTTTGAAACTGGTTATAGAAATGAAAGGGCTTATTAAAATTTAAATTGTTCTTTTTGTAGGTTTCTTGGTAGTTGTATTCTTTTTGGTAATCATTTTTTCTTATATTTCAGGTTTTTTGACATTTATTCTTTTTAGCTTTTGCTAAAGCCCTTGCTTTTTCAATTATATCATCTTTCTTTTTAGCAATCCATCTTGTATATCAGATAAGGCCAAGGCAATTTTTTACCCATATTTCTTAGCTACCTTTAGTATAAACATTTTATTTTCAACTTCTCTCAGGTATTTTCTATATGATTTATAGCATTGTGAATACTTCTTGAATCTACAGCTAAATCAAGTTCTTTTCCAACTATATGCAATGTATTAAACTCATATTGATCACAAAAACTTTTGAACTTGTAACTAGATCAAATATTGCAATTTCTATTTTCTGATGGTTTTCTTGGATTTGCATTGTAACTGTATCAATCTATTATTAAAACCTAGAATTGCATTTTTCAGTTTTTTGAACTCTGATAATATACTTCGTTTCAATGTTTCTGAACCTTCATTTTCATAGCTATCTTGAAATTGGTATTTCTTTGATTTTCTTGGGGCTTTATCCATCTCACCATTCAATTGATATTAGGGACCCTGTTTTTCTATATTTTAGATAGTAGTACTTTGTTGGGTTTTTGTTTTTCTCTAGATCTTTGTGCAAGTTCTCTTAATGTTTGCATTTGGGGGTCAACTTTAAGTACTTCATTTCCTTCATTTGGATATTCCAAATCTACTAATTTATTATCATTCTCTTTATCAAAAGTTAATACTTTTGCTTTTCCAGCTTCTCGAAATCTTGTCTGGTTTTCCTCATTTGAAAAATTTCTAAATCTTTGTATTAGATCAGTTTTTGTTTCTTCAATAGAAACACCAAGACTATGGCAGATTTCTTCCAAGTCATTTTTTGAAAGGTTTGTATCTGATATTTTTTCTTGAGTACAAGTTATGCTAATAACAAAAGAGCCAGATTTATAATTGGGCAATGATGAGAATAAGTGAATAAGATCAAAAATTTGAAATCTAATAACATAATGATTGTATGAATAATTAACAATATAAGACAATAAGTATTTTTCAAATGAGTTTACATATGTTTTTTTCAGCTCAAATAGCTGATATAGCTAATAAGCAATATGGGGGAAAGTTAATAAAAAAGGAACAAATCGTTTTTAGCGAATTTTTTAATTTTTAAATTAAAATATCTCAACAACTAATTAATCAAATTTGCTAAAAATTTTTTTATTTTAATCTTGAAATTATATAGAATTAAAATAAAAAACTTTTTATTAAATTTGAAAAGATTATTGCCAAAATATTTAAGCCTAAAGTCAAGAAAACTTTTACTTGGAAAAAATTTGTACCTTTTCTATTGACTCACCCCCATATACTTAATAATTGATTTTGAAATAATATATAATAAACAGATTTTAATTTATAGCTCTTGCCAATTAATACTAACTTACTATAAGAGAAAAAAAAATACTAATAATATATATACATCCTTTAAACTTATTCTTTGTGCTAACCCAAACAATTATCAGCCAAACAACATATAATAGATAATACTGAAATGTCAACTATTTCATCTTGAACTTCATTGTAGTTAAAATCAACAACTTCAACTTTAACTATATCATCACAATTAACTACCATGGCTCAAGCAACAAATTAAATATCTTGTTAAAGTTAAACTCATTATCAAAAAAAGAAAAATTGTTAACCAAGTGGCTAATATGGAAACTCTTTCTCCAATAACTACTTCTAAAAATACAACTTTTAAAAATACAACTACTACTACTAATAATAAATCATTAGATAGTAGAAAGTAGGGGTCTGCAAACCGGGCTTGTGCCTATACCCAGGCATAGCATAAACATAAAAAGCTTTGACATAGGCAGGAGCACTGGTACAAAAATTTGGCATAAGCATGAGTACAGATACAAAAATTTGGCATAGGCATTGGCATGAGTACAGAAATTTGGTATGGGGCATGTGTATTGGTACAAAATTTAATATTTATTAATTAATTGTGTCTGGCATTTTGTCTAGCACTTGTGCCTGATATCTTTTTAGCACCTTTTTGCCTAGCATATTGTGCTGTACTATAATAGTGCCTGCCACTTTTGTGCACATGCTCATAAAATATCTGGCATTTGTGCCCATGCCCACATTAATGTCTTGATACTTTTGTGCCTATAGTATGGGGTGCTAGTGCCTGGCATTGTGCCAATATGCCCGGCATGGGCATTTGTAGAGCCCTAGTAGAAAGATATTACCTATAAATTTTGTATAGTTTATTTTTATTTTTTTTTTAATGTATATTTTAAATTTTAACTTATCTCTACTATAATATTTGGGGATTCTGGTCACTAATTAAAAAAGTGACATTTTTGTTTATAAAGTAGGTAAAAGTATTACTTTTTTAATTAGTAACAAAACAATCAAAAAAAAAAGTTAAATTTTTTTTTTTAAATAAAAAGGGGAAAGAGAGTGGAATTGGGTGAGAGTAAGAATAAAGGTAAGAGAGAGGGTAGAGTGAGGGTAAAGAGGAGAGCAAAGAGAGCATAAGATAGAAGAGGAGCAATTGAGACCCCGAAATTGTGCTAAAATTACATGATTTCGGATTTCGCATTTTTGCAAAATTGAATAAGTTTCAAACTGATGAAATAGAGTTTGAAACTTTGATTAAACGATGAAGTCACATGATATATGGGAATTCGAATTCTCACAAAAATGGTTAGTAACCCAAAATTAGGTCATATGACTATGTACATAGTATGTACGCTTTGAAAAAATTAATTTTTTTAAGAACTAATGATCTTTATTTTATTAATTCATATTTTAGGTATAAATTTATTTTTTTAATTTATCAGTATTTATTAATAATATTCGCTTTAATTAAAATTGATGTATCAAATTAGCTACAAAAAACTAAAAAAGGTGCAAAACTAATCTTCAACATGAACACCCTTAAAAAGTGTTAGAGGAAAAGAAAGGAAAAATTGTGGTATTACCTAAAGAGTTACAAAGTGTGAAAAGACAAAACATACCAATAATAAAAGTTAAAAGTTGGGAAAGGCTATTAATAGATAAGGTAGTTTTAGACAAAGAACTGAGAAATATTTTAGTTAAAATTTTAGAGCAAAATAGAGAATTAGATAGTCTTTTATTTTACACAGATAGCTTACTCAGAATATCTGAAAACAATTTAAAAATACAAATAGGCTGTGGAGTAATCCAAATAGATAAGAGGGATCAAATAATTTATCAAATAGCATGTGCAACTAAAAAGTAGTTTTCTTTGACCAGAGCTGAGTTAGTAGCGATTCTTATTGCCTTATTAGTAACACCAAAAGAAAAAGAGGTTGAAATCAGAACAGATAGTAAGGTAGCAATTTTAGCAATTAAAAAAGGTCTAGAATCAAATAAAACAAGACAGTGGCTAAAGATTAAAAATAGTGGCCTCATTGCAACACTGACAGAAGTAGTACAAATAAAACAGTTGAAGCTGCATCTCACAAAAGTCAAAGGACATTCAGGTAAATTTTTTAATAATCTGGCAGATCTTAAAGCCAGAGAAGGTGCAACCAGCTCAGAATTTTTGACCCCAGTATCACTAAGTACAAAGGGATACAAATTAAGACTAAAATAGGAAAATGAATTAATAGAAAAGCCACTATGATCTTTTACCAAGATGCTTGAAAAAGTAATAAACAGGGCAGAATGAACCTTTGCACATAGTACTCAAAACACTATATACAAAGAAAGAAAGGCTCATCAATATTGGCCAATATTCTATGAACTTTTAAGAAGTAGAATTAAGCAACAAACCCATATATTTAAATCAAACAATATTTGGCTCTTTGAATTAAAGTGCATAAACAATTTATTACTGGTTTTTGAAAGACTAAGTCAGAGAAAACCAGACATTTACAAAATGGACAAATATTTAGTGTATAAAAAGAAAACTGAAAATGTTGAATACCTAGTTAGTTGTAAAATTTCACATGAATTACTGTGAGATATAGAGAAACAAGAAGTAGGGCTAATCCTAAAAGAGCTTGAAAAAGAGAACAACACAAGCAAGGAAAAAGAAGGCATTTTAGTAAAGTATGTCCGAAGAATTAAGAAGAAGAGAAAGATGGATTAGAGGCCTCATTACAAATAGTGACTTCAAAGAGATTTGACCTTTTTTTAACTCTAACAATCAAGCAAAAAAATTCATAATTCGGCTCTGGAAAAACTGGATAAAGAGAATACACAAGACAATATGGGTTCTTAGATACAAACTCGTACAGAAATGAGAGAAAGAAAATAGCATAATGCTCAAAGAAAAAAAGAATACTACTCCAAAGACTAAATGAGGAAGAAAGAAAAAAAAGAAGACTGGAGATGGGAAGAAAACCATATCCAACAAATCACTTGAACAAAAAGTAGAAAAAAGAAAAAATGGAAAGATGGACCACAATATTAGAAATAGTAAGAAACGAATTATCAAGTTGGATTATAAGTGGTCAACGTGCAGAGTGGTGGAAAAGCAATTAGTAATCTTGACAGGCATAAGAACCTTCTGTCAAGGTATTAATGAATCCAAGTGCAGGACAAGTTAATACAGAGGTAAAACTTACTATAGCAGGTCGCACATAGGTGTTCTTTGAATAACCGGGTGAGCTAATACTTGTAATTTAGGTGTCAAGAGGAATAGCCTCTTGAAAAATTTTAATATTTCACAGTATAATATTATAAAGCCTAATAAAGTAGAGGCAAGGCTGCCGAAATTAAAAAAAAAAAGATGTATCAAATTAGCAATAAAAAAAGATGGTTTTGACAAAGGTTCGTTTTTTTGACATAAGTACTGTAATTACACAACCTTAATTTATATTCTTATTGACGATTATTCTATGCAGTATAAATATTTTATAGTTTAAGCTTTTATTTATGTTTAATCTATGATCATTGACTAAAGATTTATATTTGTGCGCGTTATTTCAACCACTTACGCATTATTTCGTATGCATTATTTTAGGCATTACACCCAAATATATGTCATATGTAAATTTGCATTCAGATTTTTGCGCCATAATTGTTTAATAATTGTCAGGGATGATGCTGAAACATTGACTTATTTTAATATTAAATTTTAAAGGTTTTGGGGATGTTTTCTTTGGCTTTTTTTTTTGTAGTTAAGTTAGGGTTTAGGGTTAGTATTTATAATAAAAATGGTAGAGCTAAATCGAGACTCCTACGTTCCAGCATCATCTTGTTTCAGCATCATCCCCGACAATAATTATCAGATTCTCTACAGATTTGTATCAAGTTAATAAATAGCCTTTTGTTTTTGACAGTAATAAATAAAATTTTACATTATTTAGAAAATAACTAGAATTGTGTTAACCAGTAGCTGTAACTACCACTGGACGTCCAGATTTTTCCAGTGTTCCATCAGTTCCAGTTAAGGTCTTTAAATGGAAGATTTTTCCACTGGAACATATATTATGCCAATCAAAATGTGCTAATGTTGATCAACCAGAGAATAAGCATTATATATATTAGCGTTAGTCGTACACTGGAATTCACATTTGGGTGCACAAAGGGTGTCTTATATTTTAATAATCTAGTCCGCTAATATCGTATATAAATCTTAAAGTGGTTTCTTAAATTTACCCACTAATCCTCGATTATCTCATGTCACTACAACAATTTTTAACGATTTATTTAACTCAGCAAGTGATTCCTCATATCAATATTTACCTGTCTTTTGTAAGTTAATCTACGATTGCTTAATGCCGTTGTGTTATTTGGTTCAATTTCTAATGCCTTATTTCAATCTTTAAGCGATTTATCATCTTTATTGTATTGTGTAGTCTATTTTTTAATCGTATTTGCACATAAGTTGGTAAGTCAGTCATGATTATTAATGCTATCGCATTGTTTGGGTTCTATTTTTAATACCATTTTTAAACATTTACTGAATATTCGATAAGCTTCATGGTTAATCGCCACCTGGGAAGTTCGTGTGATGATCTATGAAAATGCCGCAGCATATATTTTATTTTGTCACATAACACGATTACTTTTTTGAAAATAGTTTCTAATAGAACGTCCAGGTTGATTTTTCATTTTTGAGCTTTTAATTAAAGTTGTTCAGAATTAAATTCTATTCATCCCGTCTTATAAGTGGAAAGAACGATACCTTCTCTGGAACTCAGAATTCAAATTTATTAATTTTATAACCGGTTATGAGTTCCAGAGAAGGCATCACTCTTTCCACTTATAAGACGGAATGATAGAATTTAATTCTGAACAACTTTAATTAAAAGCTTAAATATGAAAAATCATAGTTTTTAAAAAATTGGCTATGAATAATCATGACTGTTTGTAGCCGAACTCATCCCTACACTAGGCTCCGTGGCAATAGCAGTACAAGGGACCTTTACTTGATACTCAAACCGATAGACTGTAAGAATCTTTTTTTTGGTGGTTAAACTTCATGGCCATGAATGGGATCCGGCCTGCTGGCCGGCCTGTTCTAGACCTATTACAGCTGTTTTCATAAATTCTGGGACACTTAAAAAAATTTGCCGATGATTATTTCTTGATTTCGGTATAAGAAAATAATTAATAAAAGCTATTTTTGTATCATAATGATCATTCTACGGTGTCATAACTATAATGTCAATGATTTAAAATTTTCGTTCGAATGCTTGTCCAACATGTTTGGTGTGCTTAGCTTGTATGAAAATTTATGGAATGAACTGTTCATGTCAACCAATAAACATTAACAAGAAATGTAAAAAGGAATCGAATATAAACCAGACTTTATAACAAATATGAATTTGTCAACTGGTTTAAAAATGAATCTCAGGTTATGATTCCAAGCGACCAAGATATTATTAATTTCTGTTGAGAATGCATGAATAATTATGATAAACGAAATCAAAATAAAAAATTTAATGTTTGTATTTATTTATATATTTTCGTCTAGTTTGGTTTTTTAAAAACGAATTTTTCGTCTTCGAAAAGAAACGAAAAATAATTAGAAATGAATAAATGCCTTCGTTTGAACGAAAATGGATCTTGCAAAGAATAGTATCGAAATTTAGTTTAATTTTTAAACCCGAATTTTTCTTCTTCGACAAGAAACGAAAATAATTAGAAATGAACAATGCCTTCGTTTGAACGAAAATGGATCTTGCCAAAGAATAGGAGTTGAAATTTTATACAATTTTTTAAAATTTAATTTCGTCAAAAAATAATTAGAAATAAATAAAGGCTTCGTTTGAGCGAAAATGGATTTTGCCAAAGAATAGGAATTGAAATTTTACACAATTTTTTAAAAATGAGTTTTCGTCGAAAAATAATTAAAAATGAATAAGTGCAAGTATGCATGTCGCTGTATTGTAATATACCAGATCATATTACAGCCGTTTTCATAAATTCTGGGACACCTAAAAAATTTTTCGTTTCCTGAGTCTTTTCGGTTTCGTCCGGTAAATTACCTAGTTCTCCGGAAACTACATCGCTGCCTCCGGACTGAAGGTTCAAAAATAGCGATGTAGTTTCCAGAGAGCTAGGTAATTTACCGGATGAAACCGAAAAGATTCCGGGAAACGAGAAAATTTTCAGGTGTCCCAGAATTTATGAAAACAGCTGTAAATTACGTATCTGTTACTGAATCATATTATTCCCGAAATCGAATTCAGCCGAAATTATCATCGGCAAATTTTTTTGGTGTCCCAGAATTTATGAAAACAGCTGTAATAATCCCTGACAAATGATGAAATAGTTTCATCATTATGCCGAAAATATTTCATCAGGCAACTTGGATAATTATCTTTGAACTCGGACCAACTTTATATATATGACTAAATAACATTTTGGTCTAGACTCAAAAATAATCACCCACTTTTAATTGACAAATGAAACTCGTGAAGACAAAATACATGCGAATGATAAAATATATGACGAATCATAGAATTATGTAATATATAGTTTTTTGACGCAATAACGATTTTCTTTTAGAATAACATAGAGAAAAGAATATGTAAATTCTTGCGTAGCGTCATGCGCTGCGCAACTACCCTAATTCAATAACTAAATTCACCAAATGCAACTTCCGCACTGACATAAGGAGCAAAACACTAAATAAATAAATAAGTTAAACAAACAAATAATTAATTTCCGAATACATGAACTTCACAAATATATAAGATAAAAACTAAATAAAACCTAATTTAACCAATATCATTGTACAAATTACTCTCTAGACTACAACGCACACAAGAGATCGTACTTTCTGTGCGGCGTCACACGCTGCGCTTATTCGTGAAGAGATATCATTGAATCAAGTAATTATCACGAACTTTTTTTTATATAAAATTATTAGGTAAGAAGCCCATGAAATTACGTGACTTTATGTACCTTGTGAGGGGCTAAATCGACCCCTACGATCAAAATATGGCCTCACGGATATCAACTAAGGCCTAACTAATCCAAATCAACGCTCTAATACCACTAAACTCTACCAGACCCTAATAGTGGTAGGCACGAAAGAGGGCGTGGAAAGACTTGGTCCGAGTTATTAGGGCCAAATAGAGCTCTAGACTACGTCACGAGGCTCTAATTCGGGATCACGTGGCTACGAGATAGTATATTTATCGGGAAATTGGGTAAACGAGTGTATGAGTTATATAGAATAACTTGTGTTTATTAAAAGCTCAATACTGAGATATTGTTTTATTCAAGGCGGACTCTTGATCCTTATATACAATTTTCGGCTATATTATGATTCGCTAATTCTACCTAACATATATAACATATATGTCCTATCTAACATATATAATCTATCTAACATATATAACGTATATATTATATCGAACATATATAACATATCAAATGTATCTAATGGATATAATAGATATAATGTATCAACTGGATCCAACATATCTGACGGATCTGACATATCTGACAGATCTGACAGATCTGTTAGATCTGTTAGATCTTTTCCGATCCACATCGATCTACTACACCAAAAATAATTTCAAGCCACAATTCACCCTTTCACAACCTTCAGTAATACTATACAAAAAGTAACATAACTTTATATCAAGTAATGATATTATTGCCATATATGTAATGTTCGTATATATGTGGGATTTCTAACTTAATGATGATGCTTAAACATTGATTTTTTTTCATCTTAAAAGTCATAAAAAAGAATATCATATTCATATAATTCTGGAAGTCCCAAAAACAGCATAGATGAAAATTTAGTCTTCTTTGATAGGATTTCCGAACCCTGTAATTCATTAGATGGATTCCAGCCTTCAACTAAATCATTATATTGCTGAACGGCAGTGAATGTACTGATGGATGAATTTACAACATTTTGAGACCTTTGAGATCCACCAGTATTTGGAGGCCTTTGGAGTTGATTGTTCTGTGGTTGACTCATGAAAATAAATTTTCTTTAGACCTATTGTGTAATAAAAGAGGTAATACAGTATTAACATCATATAAATGGCACATCTTTATTCAAAATTCCTGATTTACGCTCACGTGGTTTATATGTTAAAATAAAGGCGATCACTTTACAGATTTGTGTAGTTAAAATTATTTCAAAAATTAAATTAGGTGTAAATTCTTATTTTGCAATATGAGTATAGAGTGAATCATCTAGAGATATTTGAAATTGCAATTCTTCAACAAATATATCGAATTGTAAAAACAATAATTTGCTCTACAGCTCTGTATAAAGATCCAACTATGTACTAAACCAACCCTATAAGAAATTGCAGCACGAAATGATACTGCAATACACGAAAAAGTTTGGATATGGGACCACACGAACCTACACGTAAATCTATACGAGACAATGTATGGGAAAGCACGTTTACAGCATGTAATTAGGCATGAATTCTGTGCAACAGTGCACGTACTAACATGCAATTTTATGTGTTTTCTCATGCATTGTCTCGTGTATATTTACCTGCAGGTAACACATAATAACCTATATCCATACATATATGCATAATAACATATATCCATATATATATTTAAATTTATTATTTATTAACTAATTTTTAAATTTTATTAATTAAATTTTATTAAGTAAATTTTATTATTTTATTGACTAAATTTTTATAATACAAATACTTTAATTTAATAATATACATTCTGAATAAAGAAAATATTCTAATTACTAAGACTATTAATAACATCAAAAAAAAAAGAGTAAAACAATAGTACCAATTTAAAAAAAATCTAATTGACTACTTAGTACAGCAAAGAAAATTGATGAAAATAAAAGTAAACACTATGTATGAAAATAATAAAACTAAAACTGAAATTTATGTTGACTACACCTTAAAAGAAAAAATAGCAAAAAAAATAAAAAAGTAATAAAACAATAGTATCAAAATGAAAGTTTCAAAAAAAAAAAAAATCAAAATGACTACTTAGCAATAACTCCAATAGTGCTAACTCAAATTATAATAACTTCAATAGCAGTAACTCAAAGATACTAAAAAATAGAAGCAAAATGCAGTAATGTACAGAAAGCAAATAAAAAAAAACAAAGTCATGAAAAACATAGACCAAAAATGATAGTGATTCCAAAAGAGCAATTTTCAAGTGAATGACTCTAAAGCAGTGTTGGCATTGGACATATGTCCACCCATTTTTAATGCCATTGGACTGGACATGGATATTGGATATATACTTGGACATGGTCCAGGTCCAGTATGTCCAATCATCTTATGCAGGCAAAAATTTTTAAAT